GGGCGCCGTCAGCAGCACGGGGAGAGCCAGCCCGGGTGACGAGTAGACGCACGGGTAGGCTGTGCCATGCCGTGGTGCACGTAAGCACCAGCCCCGCATGCACACCCGGATGGAGCTGTGCCACCCCCATGGGCACCCCAGCCTCTGGGGAGGTTGGCACAGCCCTGCTGCAGCACCCCCGGCCTCCCACGTCCCTTTTGGGGTGGGAATCACAAAATCCTAGAGCAGCGCCCGGGTGACGAGTAGACGCACGGGTAGGCTGTGCCATGCCGTGGTGCACGTAAGCACCAGCCCCGCATGCACACCCGGATGGAGCTGTGCCACCCCCATGGGCACCCCAGCCTCTGGGGAGGTTGGCACAGCCCTGCTGCAGCACCCCCGGCCTCCCACGTCCCTTTTGGGGTGGGAATCACAAAATCCTAGAGCAGCCCAGGTTGGAAGGGACCTCAAAAGATCATCTGGTCCTACCTTGTCCCCTAGATGAGGTCATCTAGCCCCCTGTCCCCTTGCATCTTGAAAGCCTCCAGCACCAGGAACACCACCACGTCCCAGGGGAGGTTGTTCCAGTGAATGATTGTTCTCACTGTAAAATGTGTCTATCTTATATGAAGAAGCTGGGAGCTTCCCAGCAGCACTTACAGTTTGGTGCAGGTTCTTCTCCACACTGGGGGGCACGTCGTAGATCTCCTGCCCTGGGTCCTGCCCATTAGGACCCTTCACTGCCATGGGGGGCATGTCATAGACCTGGAGCCAAGGGACACAGGACATAGTCTCAGGGATAGCGTGGGCTTCCAACTCCTCCCAGGGACCGGGAAGGACGAAGGCACCAGAAGAAGCCCCAAGGCCCATAACATGCCCAGCTTTGAGTGTAATTTGCCCAGGTTTGGATCCCAGGCTGTGCCGGAGCATCACCTGGGCTGAGGGATGGAGCCAGCGACCCCCCCCACCAGCCTCACCTCCTGGCTGAACTGGCTCGGGACCCCGCCTCGGACAGGCGGCACGTCGTAGATCTCCTGGGCGCCCACGGAGAGGAGGTGGCGAGGGAAATCGTACTCATCCTGCTCGCCCTTGGGGGAGTCATAGACGTACACCTGCCCCACGCGGGTGGGCACCAGCACCTGGAAAGAAGGAAAGGGCAGAGGTGGGCGCCGCCGAGCATCCCCCCACCCCACATCAACCCCGCCAGCGATGGGGCTGGAGACAGAACGGATATGAATCCTGTACCAGACCATCCGGCACCGGACAAACCGGTGCCCACGGGAGGGCGCTCCCCGGCCGGGCGTGCACGCTTCTCACGGTGACGCCGGGGACGGGGGAGATGATATCACCGGTTATTTATAGCGGCGAGCCTCAGCGAGAGACAAAGCCCAACTGGCAGAGCCGCAGCGTGCAGAAGGGAATGGCCGATTCAGGCAACGAGCTTTGCCAGCGCCTGCAGGATGTCGGCAGATCCCTGCCCGCAGCTCAGTGCCCACCTTGCTGTACCATGGGGACACAACGAGCAGCAAATAACCAAACCCAGAGGGTCATGGCATCCTGTCCAGCTGGTACCAGGGGGCAAGAAGGGCTGAGCAACTGGCAGAGGTGCTGGGCAGGTTCTCTGTTTTAAGATGCTCCCCATACCCTAGGCATGATTTGGTAGCCCCCCAACCCTCTTTTTACGACGCTGAAAGCGGGGTGACATGCCAGGGAAGGGGCAGAACTGGGAGGAGCCCAGCGTCCAGGATGTAGCTGTTAGGGCCACCACACTGGGACCCCCGCGTTGGGGACAGATTGGTGGTCCATCCTTGCCTCACCAGCCCAGCAACCCCAGCCAGCAAGCGCTGGCAGGCTCCCTCGCACGGCCAGGACACGCTGGCACCAGCTGCCTGCCCCTGCATGTACTGCAGGGAGGAAGGAAACATCACAACAGCATGCTGAGTGCCACAGCTACCTCCATAGCTGCAGGATCCGGCCAACGGGCACCTCCAAGTGACTCTTGGGCTACCAGCACCCCGTGCCCACCCCAGGCACAACTGCTGTGCCCTCAGTGACACCAGCAGAGCCCACACAACAGACCAAGGAGATGCAAGCGCTGAACGCTGTGCCAGCCCTGAGCTGGGGAGGCAACGCCAATGGGTGCACCTCAGCCACTGCAGGGACCTCCCTGGCATGCCCACGCCTGCCAGTGGCACGGGGGAGGATGCCCATACAGCCCCCGCAATGGGCCCAAGGACATCCCACTTCAAGAGACAGCAGCAGGTAGATAAGCTGAAGCCCGACAGCCGCCCGACAGCCCTGGCACCCACTCGCCACCACGGACCGCAGAGCACCCTGCAACAGCGCTGCCACCCCCCAGGACCCCCATCCTACCTTTCCCTGCGGCTTGTGCCCTTCCCAGCTCCTTGCGTCCAAAGACGGGGGCACCTGGTAGATATCT